GTTATCAGCTCGGCTGTTACCGGCACTTGCGAGTCGAATACGGTACTTTCGAGGCAAAGTAGCGGAGTTTCCTTCGATCGAGGGATTTTTGAATTTTTCATGTTTAGGGCATCGAGACTTTTGTTTTTTGCGTTTCTCTTATGACGTCGTTATAGTCCAGCGATCAGGAATGCGGCGAAATGGAATTCTTGCCACCATTTCTATTCGCATTCTTTCCCTGGTCGTAGGAAGCTGAAGAATCACGAGCTGTTCTGGAAATGGGTTACGAGAACGCGTCGTTGCACAACGAACTTCCGTGCTTTTCGATCGGTGAATACTTTCGCGAAATGTTTTATACATGCTGACCTAGAAATCGTCGCGTTGCATTTCGAGCTACCGCACAGAAACATTTCACAGTAATTACAGATAGATATCGTGCTTTTTTAATCGGTCACGCGCTCGCTGCCGGAGCGTTCGTTATCTCGGAGAAAGTTACACGCTTAATCGCGAATCCCGTCAAACAGACTCGGTTTCCTTCGATCGAATGTCCCGAAGTTGAGACACGAAACAGCCCAGATAACCCCGCTGACGAGTTCTGTCACAGAACTCGAACGAAATGCATCTCCTTCCTTTCCGATGTATCGCTCTTCGTACGACCTACTTCCGCACCCCAAAAGTTTCATCTCGTATGCATTGCTTACGACCAGGTTACGCGTCTGTTACAGACACGGGCCAATCTCCCGAAGTAACGTCATACATTGTAACTCGAACGATCTAGTTCGACAACACGTTATTACAATAGTTTGATCAACACGCGTTCATAATGGTTCGCCTAACAACTAGTCTATACTTTTATTAGAGCGTTCCGCTCTTACTGTCATCGACTTCTATAATCTATATTCGTGATCTATAGATCGCTAACGCTAACGTTTCATTTAATTTCCAACTCTGCTCTCGACACCGACGACAGTTCGTCTTTTGTGATAGACATTATCTCTTGTCCTCCGTTTTTCTCCGCGAGAAGTACCGAATATGTCATACATTTTTAATCCCAAACAGGATCGTGAGTCCTCCGAATATTTCAAGTCTTGTGCTACAGCTGTGCTCGACACGCGATAAATCAACGTTAAGTTGAAAGTCCTCGAGTCTACGCGATCTCTTCGTCTCATTTTGTTACTGTCTCTCAGAACTGTTTGATCTCTCGCACATTTTCCGCATTAATTTTCAACCTTTGATTTCAATTAACGAGAGAGAGAGAAAAGAACAATCGCTCCGGAACGGAGCTCACCGGTTTGGGCACGTGGTGCTCCACTTTTCAGAAAGTTTTCGATTCGTCGCTATTAAGATCGTATTTTATCTTTCGCGCTCTTTAGAAATATTTGTTTTTGCCTTCGACACGATTTAATTATCTCACGGTTGGAAGCTAAGTTATTTAGCTTTCAGGGTGATTGATCCTCGCCTCGACCATCCTTCTATTCGCGATTCTACTGGGAAATGTCCACAACTGGGTCACTTACCAGCTGCAAACCACGCGCAGCAACTAACTTAGTATATTAAATTAGCGTGGGACTTCAATTAATTAGTCACCTTAAAGGATAATCCGTTTTCGCACGCGTCGAAGCAACTACCTTATACCGCGGTTTCTCTATGTTTAATTGCTCAGCAAATTACGACCACGCGCGCAGCCATGTCCGAACGAATTTTATTCGTTTCATTATCCTTGATTATGATACATCGAAGAACATTTCCAACCATCGTTATCGAATAAATTGTAAAATTTCCTTAATTCCAACGCTCTATTAACCGCATGAAACGTAACTTTCAACTTTTAATGTTTCAAAGACAATTAATAATTGCAGCTCGAGGTACATGTATAAAATCCTAATGTACTCTTATTCGTTTTTACACGTGATATGTATAGCTATACCTTTGAAATCGGGGTGTATTCAGGTGCTTGCAGAGTAAGGTTCGCAGGGTGTTTGCGGCGTTGGTGCAAACGTCAAAGAGAAATTGAAACGCCGAGCGCAAACCACATTAGTCCTGTATGATTCATCAGTAAAGCTGTAATACCGCCTCCACGTTGTTGAATAAACCTAATTCTAGCCATCAAACACCGAACACTGGTTTCGCTTCTACGACTAGCGTGTAGGTACAATCTTTGAAATAGAAATGAACACAGCGGTAATTGAGGGGATCGTTGTTGATTCTACTCGAACACATTATTCTGCTCGTTTGCATCGATTCCGAATGAGGTAAGTTTCCGAGGATTAGGCAAATTCTCCCAAAATTTTGATGGCGCATGGCAGTCTAAAGTGTTCGTCGATACGATACGAATAATTATCTACATAGAGACTACAGCGCGGTATCGTCGGCAAAGATTGTTTCAGCAAGAACGGCTACGAGGAACGTTGGGTGTAGAAGGTAGGCGAAACGACAAAATAGAAAGTTGGGAAGGGAAAGGGTCGTAAATTATTAGTCTGCGCAAGGAAGTTTCGCGGAACGTAAATTCGTCGTTTTGCCGGTTTCGCGGTGACTCGCCGGAGTAAAATGAAATAGCCCCTGGTCTGTAAACTCTGCCTTCGCGTTTTGCGACAAATGCGTGGAGTTAACGGGAATAAAAGCGGCGTCGTATCGTTAGGTCGTACGCAATGGGCAATAGCAGATGCTGTTGCGAGAGATAACGAATAGATATTGCAGTCGTGATACGTGATACGCCAACACGCACTAAACGTTACTGCAACTTTCGGATAAGCGCGTTTACCCCTGGCCAATATGAACGTCGAGTATGCTTTGAAAACCGAGAGCCGGTATTCCGTAACGGGCTTCGCGTTACTAACGCCGAAAGCCATGGTAAACTCGTACTCGTCAATTTGGAAACGAATACCGGTAAAATTTCTTGGAGCTCGTGCGCGTTTTTAATAGCGAAACGCTCGCGTTTCGTCGGTAAATTGATTCGATTGCGCGAAACACTATAAATTTATACGCGAATTCGCCAAAGCATTTCATCCGCGATACGTTGCGCGTATAAATGAAAAATTTCGAATTCGATAGGATTTCCTAGGAAAACTAGCAAGCGAACGAACAAATAAATAATCAAATTTTCTGCGCGCGAAATCATCGAATCCGATACGAGTAACGCCAGTTAGCATTTCTGTTAGACCAAAACATATTGACAATTACTGCAGCGGATCGAATATTGTGGAAAAATGTTCGACGAGCAGCACATTCGCGGTGTTGTCAGGGAAACGGCACATTCCTCCCTATATCTTTGTTTTTTCGAAATAATACATACATATGTACCGAGCGCCGTTATCTAACCGCGACACTTGTAAAGTTTCCAGGAGGATCATTGTTTCCTCCGATACGTTTTTATCTGATCACGTCGAAACCACGCCCATGCATATGTACGTCGCTAACGTAACTTTCCACTTGCTGATTTTCCTTCTATGCCTTTTGAGTCGCGTTTTCAACGCGTTTCCCATCGTTGCACCCGACGAGGCTCGCGAAAATTCCGTGTCGCGCGAACCGCTGGTGCACGGACAAAGTGTTTCGTGCACGCCAACGTTCCCAGACTACTTCAAAAAAAGAACTGCATCTGGATTTTTTTAATTACGTTTACCCGGCTCCCGCTAAAACGTCGCGCTTGAAATTACACCACCGTTTTCGGACTACGAAACCTCTCCACCGATTCTCTATTCTTTTTTAGTTATCCACGCTCGAAACGGTGAGTAAAAAACTTTACGAAATTACTATGTATGCGAAACGTTATGCAAAACCGTTCTCGAAGATTCCTGCAAATGTTCAGCTACGTACCGTTCAACAAAGCGACCTTCTTTCTCATCCACTGATACGACGGAAATTTTTCCTTATGGAAGTAATACCGTTCTTACGTAATTTATGCGTAGTCAAATACGATATTTCGGTGCAATGGAGTTTCCTGGTATCGTCACGAACGGAACCGAATAAGCGTATAACGCGATGCTTTGCTTTTTTAAAATTTGTACGCGTTCACGCAGCAGTATGCAGTTTTCAATCGCTCGCGAGTCGAAAATGAAACGGAAGATTGCAAAGCGATGTAGAATTTTTTTATGTATTTTGCCACGTATAATCTGCGAGCACCGAATTTTACAACCGTTTCGAAAAAGTGTAAGAGGTACGGCAAATAATTCACGAGCGAATAAACATTTTCAACTAATTGTGTTATTGAAATAATGAGTTTATTTACGTTCTTGAGCCGCGTTTATTTGCCAATAAAATTTATACGCGCGCGTGTTGTTCGACGCGTACCGATAATTGAACGTTGGACATTATCCGATCGTTAATTGTGTCTTCAGTCTCGAATGACGTACCGTTTCTGATAAAAGTTTATAATATAAACATAGAGGAGGATCGATCGGTTGTCGTATAATTAATATGCTCGATGGAAATTATAGGAAAGCATATTGAACATATGGAAATCAATGTCGAAGTGTTCCATTAATCAATGGATATCGGGACAACTACTGTCGCAAGCATTAACAGGACGATAAAGCCTTAATGTAATGAAAGTAGGCAGTCATCGGTCCGTATCGATAGTTGACCAAACGGAACACAGATTCTAATTAACGAGGGTCGAACGCGAACGTTTTACTCTCAATAAATGGTGACCGCGGACAGCTCGAATAAATAGTCCTATGCATGGAGAAGAATCAATGACAAAAAGTAATTGAAGGACCAGTGTACATGCGACAAGAGGATTTTATTTCTCTCGTTCAGAAATAAATTAAAACGCATCGTTAATTATTTACCGTGTTTACGAGATATCTTCAACGCCAATTTGGATAATGATAGATGAAAATCATTTCTAAATTCTGGAATGTTTAGTCTCGCTTCTTCTGATATTATTTTTATATATTATAAAGTTCTTGTCTTGTTACGTATAGCATCTCGGGTATCGAACTCGACGAACAAGAAGAATACGGTTGTTTATCATAATTCGTACAAGAGTTTGAAAATACGCTATGAGCAGTAGATCGACTTACCGTGTAGCATCAACGAGAAAAAGAGAATGCAAATCATGTTGGCCAGGGCAGGCGCGCGCCAGTAGGTTAGATCGCCGTTGTACCGTAAATCCATTCGCAGTGCCTTCACGGTCCATCGTTTCCGATACATTTCGCGATTTAAAGCGGAAGGGTGTATCTCTTCTGTAGACAATAACAGAGATATCCATTTACTGTTTCAAAGTATCGGCGAGGTGAATTTGTTTTGTCTGAACCTTTGTATCGTCGATGAAAAAGGTGATAAATACAATATTCAGAAATTAATGAAACAAACTTTGTAAAGGTGATTCTCGAGATAGTGTCGATTTGCAAAAAATGAACAAAGTTACTCGTGTAACAAAAAAAAATGATAACTTTATAATTGACTCCTATTATGTATGTAATAAGCATCAGTAGACAATGATGCTGGATACGTGTTTCTTAACGGGACGCGTAATTAATTGATTTGACAAAATCCAACGTGTTAATTAATATTTACAATTATTAAACTTAAGTAGCAGATAATCGAAACTAATAATGAGCGTTGTGTACACCGGTTTATGTTTACGGATTACATGCAATATGTACAATAATAATATTTGTAATACCGTTTGTAAATAACTCGAGCAATCGAAACGCGAAACGACGACACAGCAATTTCACGATGTTTACAGTTTCGATTATCTATTCGTAGATTTATTACGGACCAGTTATTACGTGCTAATAATCACCCTGTTATACAATCGAGCCGACATCGTTCGCGCTTCTGCGAAGCTGGCGTGTGCACGCAAATTGAAATCAATCCCAAATATAACTCTATTGCCAGAGAGATAATCGTTCGAGAGGGTGGTAGCTTTAAACGCGAACGCGTGAAAATTGTTTAGCACGGTTTCCGTGCTTTAAAGCGTCGTTTGATGTTTCCTGCCATCAAAAATTTATACTTTCCGATAGGGAAATTTGTATATGCGTTACGGTTCCGAGCTCGCGCGAATTTTTCAGCGAAAAACTATACCGTTAATTTTCTTTTTGCCTAATTTTGTTAAACACTTAGATCGGCTTCATTTTATTTTATTACGGATGTAATTAGTCGAGCGTAAAATAAAATATCGCAAGTAAATGTTTATTTCCCATTTTAACAATTAATATATCGTTGTAAAATATTTGAAAACGAAATGAAACGCGTTTATTTGACGTTTTTTATTTCGTTTCGAGAATACGAAAACTAAATGGAACGCAAGCGAGCACGGTGGGGACGCTGAAAATTAATTTCCTCGAAAACAAAGGGTTTTGAACATAAAATTTCATTTCGCGATTTAAGTTTATTTTTGCGTGGATAGCGAGTTACAATGATGAACCGCGTTGTTTCGTATTTCGGTAGCTTCTCTTATGGAAAACGTACCGTTGTTGTGGATGCGGTTCGTGTCGGTCGTTGTTGACTCGCTGTCACCAATAAAGCGCCTCTATTGCGTCCACGTCGAAACCACGTGTCCCTTTTTTCTCTGATGCATTTTCCTGTCAATGTTCCTCGGATTGTCACGCAACTCGTACAATTCCACCAGGGGAAAAATTCATTCTCGCACGACTTCAACGTTCACCGTTTCCGACCGAGCACGCTCCATTTTGAGCTTTCAGTTATCATTATGTTCATTGAATTTTCCCTTCTGCGCAGTTTTAAGAACAAAACACTTCGTGAACAGGTTATTCGTACGATATTTTACACCGGGACGAGCCTTTGAACGAGTACAGTGGAACAGATCAATGGAAAGGCAGTCGAGAATAAAGGAGGTCAATGATTTTACGATTTCGATTCGAAATTTCTAGGAAAATATTCTTTCCTCCCTACAAAACTGTTTGAAAGAGCAGTCTACTAGAAAATTAATATTTATTTTATTTAATAATCTTGCACAGGATTCAGTGTTTGCTATGCGTGGAACGCGTTGTTTGTCGCCACGTTGACTGCCATACTAAATTCAGCCATATCCAGTACAGTATATAGATCGTTATTATAGATCCTCAATAGTGTGATTGCCGTAGTGGATATTGAGGCATGTGATGCAATTTAGGTCATTGATCGTCGATGATTAACAAGTTAACGTGTTAACTGCCTGAATGTGTTATTACAAATTTTCTTTCTTTCACACTGTCGTATTTAAAACTGCGAAAATTAGCATACCATAGGAGACCGGTGTAGAGTAATCATAAAATTAGAATTGTAATGGCCGCTCGTTTAATGAAAGGTTATTCAGGTCGATCAATGAAAATTTTAAATCGGCGAAACAGGTATGGAGGTGATTTATTTTGATCGATGTGTCGATTGAAGAGAACGCGACATTAAACTTTTCACGCGGTCAATATTTTATTACGATCGAACTCGAATTACTTGAACGTTACCGACATATCGACAAACCACGTGCTCGGTACTTTAAATAAACTACTGACAAGTATTCTTAATGAACCAACTGGTGCACGATATGTCAAATTGCTTAACGGAGGATGATATCATTTTCTGGACGAACGCGTCGAATTTGACGCAAGCTTTTGATCGATAACGTACGTGTCAATGGACGTATGTAACCATCCCACGAATACATACGTTTCTACGTAACCGCAACACCAAACCATCCGTAAATCACTGAAACACGATCGTTTCCCACGATGCTTCATAAGACCATCGACAGAAGCGAAAGCAGCAACAAGAAAAGCGTTTCACTTTACTTTATTCTACTTCCAAACAATCCCATCGCATAACGCGATCTTTTCTTTCCGACCCTTCGAAATCACTCACTTGAAAGCTTACAACAACTTCCGAGGCAACCAACAACCCTTTCCTCGACCACCTTTTTCTCGATTCGTTCCACGAAAGAGAGAGCGAAACTCGGCTCGAAATCGAATTTCCACGTGACAGGCCGGCGCGGCGCACCCTGCCCACCAAAACACGGCACATCCGACTCGCGATCAACCTGCTCGTCCCTGCTTCCGTTTCCCTCGAGAGTGCCACTCATTCGTCATTCGACACGGACACACTTGGTCGCGTGGACGCGTGTGTCGCATGGTCTCGATCTACAGACTGAAATGGATGGAACTAACCACCGGGAGCAAAAGAGAGAGAGAGAGCGCGCGAAAGAGCCTGAGATAGTAAAAGGAAGGAAGAGGAAGGGGTGAACAAAGGGGTTGGTAAGATGGATAGGCAGATAAGTAGATGGTCGAAGAGGGGTTGAAAAAAAGAGAAAGGAAGAAAGGTGTCCGAGAGAGAGCTGCGTAAAGAGACCGGTGAGCGAAATGCTGCCGTGCTGGAGACCACGATCCAACTGCGCCCGCGCTTAGCCAGATATCAACCCCCGACCACCCCGCCCACGACTCTTACCACCTCCGCTTCGTGCCGCTCCGACTCCGCTTCGACTCCGCCGCCGGTGCCAACAGTGTTGCTAACGGCATTCGATAGCTATTGCATTATTATTGCGATTATCGACACCCTCAGCCATTATGGAATATGTCGTATCCGGTGCCTGTTACGTCCGATACGTCGATTGCTTGTTACGCTGACGGTTATACGATTATACCGATTGATCTTTACGTCCAGAAAGAACTATATCATCCTTTAGGATGGACTCGATTTGATACATACTAGGTTGTACTGACTCGGTACAGCAATTATAAGTCTTCTTTATTTTTAGTCTATTCTTATAAATAGCACTGTTACTTTTCACGAGAAAAGAGTTTGCTAGTTTTACCAGACTACTGCAAAGAAAACTCTTGCTTCCAAAATCTTGGGTGCATTTTCAATAATTTGTTACGATGACGTCATCTTTTCGCATTGATTTTCCTCCTAAAAATATCCTGCGGTTTTGACGTTAAGAATTCGGTCGAGATTTTTCTGGCTTTGCAACATTGCGCAGGTTTCTATCGGCTTCGCCAACATTTCGGACGTCTTATGACATTTCGCGGGATTCTTCTCGCTGTATCAATACTTTTACCGTTTTGCAACACTCCGCAAGATTCTTTGTCGACAATTCCGTAAACTCGGTAAAACTGTCTCGTTCGTGTAACTCTCTTTTTTTAATTTTCTCCACTTGCTGCAATTTTCTTATACCCGATAATTTTCTTGGAACCAAGTCGAGTTCTACGTAAACGTTAGTAGAACATTTCTTTTCGTTCAGAATGTCGATGAAATTTACAAATTTTCGTTCGTTGAAAAGATGGAATATCCTGGTTCTTATTTGTATAACAAACTAGTCGCGACATTTACATCGATACAGGGTTCTGTAGGAACCAAGATAGCGTTCTCCTTATTAATATTCTAAAGCGACGAAAAGTATGACTTTATTAGCATGGTTTCGCGGTATTCTGGTATTTATGACAGCATAGTTCCGCGGTAGTTGAACGTCATAATAATTCACCGTGCGTTCCATTGCACGTGTACGAAAAGTAGGCTATCTCTTTAATAATTCCTTAAAACGGTGCTCATTACTTTGCGATGACCTCGTTTAACCATAAAGGGATATTTCATAGTTCCCTTTCTCGTGCTCTTATTCGCATACATTTTCAGAAAATGTAACTCCGCGCCAGTATATACGCATATTCTGCTTCAAATGCCCTTTCTTGCGTAAGTTAACGGTTCTATTTTAGGTTATTAATCATTTGTTTTTGTCCGGTTTTCCGTTCCGATAAGGCTCGAGCCAACGAGCGCGATAATTACATATAATGAAATTACGTTTCTCCATTCTACGACGTAAATTACGCGACGCAACGCCATTTACGAGTCTCGGGATATCATAAACATTTAAAGTTTGCAATTATAAACGGACGAAGAACTATTGAAAATTTTCTTAACGACAATAGAAAAAATGACGGTAACATTTCGAAAGAGAGATTTAGCGTAACAGTTGTGGACAACCAACGATTCTCTCGAGCGACGTGAAAATTAAAGAGAAATTAATGAAATCGGGAACAGTCGGAGAAGTTGGCAGAAAATTCTCTAGTCTCCAGAATCAGCTCAGTCACCGCTTATTCGAAACTTGCAAGCCCCCCAAAAAGACCAAGTTCTGGCTTTTATTCTCTAAATATTATACGCAATTCGTCCGCGAAACTTGGCCATTCAGTTCGTCGCGTTGAAGCGTACCGTAATGCGGCCGTTAAGCGAAGCGTTTATCGAATTAAGCTCGATCGTTTTTCAGCTACGGGGCTGTATAATGAGCTCGTTTATCACACACATTTAATGAAGCGGCTGGAATGCTCGATTAAAATGTTATCCGGTTATCTCGAGCGAAAAAGTTAATGCTGTTGCGAAACATTTTGAAACTGTAATTGCAATCGTGAATCTCTTCTTTCTCGCGTTCTTGTTAGGCTGTAATGAACTGTCCGTTGCTCGAGGACAAATTTCCGGAAAAAATCTGACGGAACGCTCCGTTGCAGCGTAAATAAACGAGTCGCGATAATTAATTACCGGATCACTGGTCGTAAACTTTGTAAATTCACAGTTTCGTACATTTACGGTTTTTAAAATCTTCTACAGTTTTATTTTACTGGGTTCCTCGTGGCTAGTTCCATATATGTATATCGTTGCGTTAGTGGAATTCGCGAAACTCGGAATATTTTTCATAAATGGTCAAATGCGAGGTTAACGAATCGACTTGCTACGGTCTCCAATATATCACTCGATATGCATGGAATAGTAATTCGTAAGTTGATTTACAGTTTGATCGATAGTGGGGAAACAGACTATACGGTAACGAGAATCGTGTAAGTACAAAGTTTGCCTTGCGTCACCCTAGAGATTTTCCCTAGAGAAACTTATCATTTTACTCCGAGAATTGGCAAACTCTTTCGTTGAAACTTTGCGTTCGACGATTGTTGTGATCATTTTGACCGATGTAAGCCACCGTTTTTCTGGACACCCGTGGAAAAGTATGATCGAAGGAAAATCGAAGCGGCAATCTTTTGGTTTGTAGTCAATTACCTCGTCCACTTCGACGCCGCAAGCCGGTTGTCATCCGTACTTTCGCGACTACTCTTATCGAATACAAGGGTTCCAATCTCACGCTACAAAGGTCGGTAACCGATACTAGAAACAGCCGAAACTTTCTATTTGTCCGAGCACCGACTACACGAACTATGTTAAACTTATTACGATGCAACGTAAACGTTAAGTACTCGGACACGAAGCGACGTCCCAGTGTTGCGCAATATACTAAATTGTTTGTGAACTCGTGTAACGTAACATTTGCATAACAACGTTAAGCTTATTAAGGGACGCCGTTATCATTGGTCCATCGAAATCGAACGATTCAACGATCCTTCATTTCTGCTATCCTCGTTTTGCTGGTTCGCGTTAAGCGCGATCGCCGGAACAATGTTTCCGGTTTACACAAGAATTTTGCGTGATCGTAATTTATAGTGAACGACGATGGGTCGATACCCTGCGTCGGAACGAAACGGTTTAGCCAAATGAATGGGTTATCGTCTACGATAGCGAATTCGTTCCCTCGCCGATTTATGAATTTCTAGTGGTTCGCAGTTGCTAAGAATCGCGATTAATCGATTCGTTTAATCGAAAAAAATTGTTATTTTTCAAAACAGTTTGTATCGATGCAAAGTAGAAGTAATATTTATTCCGATCGCGTAACGAAGATCGAAACAATGGAAACAGTCGACGAATGCTAGTCTTCGATAAAACGGAATCGAGATTACTTATTTCCAAAGATGCCGCTATTTGTAGGAAACGGCAGAGGTAGCTACCGCTTTCAACAACAAACTTTTTACCGTGGAACACATAAAAGTGGTCGCTCGAACGAAGCGTACAATGCACCCGCCTCTCTAAATCGATCCAATAAATTCGTTCCAAATAAAAGCAAATATTTTCCTTTCTTTCCGCGCCGGCATAGTAGTTCGAAGAGATTCGATAGCTCATACAATTCTCAAAAATTCTTCGAGCTGAATTTATCGAGTCCCGTGAGCTTCAACATATATTTTACAACGAAATCCGTGGCAACAGCGATCCATGTTTCGCGAACGAGTACAAATACCAACAACACGCGATTTCTAGAGAAAAGGGAAACAGTAGGAATAGCGAAATTCGTCATTCTTCTCGAGCAATCGTACATAACTCGGAAAGCTCTTTACCGACTTTTTTCTCCGAAGAATTTCTCCGAAATACTTGCCGAGAAATATTAAAAGGTTACACGGTACAAAGTGGAAAACACGTATCCATTGACGGGAATAGCACGTTCGAAGAAGAACCCGAAGCATTAAGATTTTACTCGCGAAGAGAAGCATATGGATTGAAACATTTTGCAGGTCCGTTCTTTACAACGCGTCTCTCGACGAACACAGCGTTGGATAGTCGAGTCACGGACACGGGAATGGCGTATTCCTTTCTTAGATAAGAGCGTTAACAGGCTGCCGAGTTGTGATCCCCGATCTTGGCGAGTTGCAGGCTCGCGTAAGCCAGCAGTAGTTAGTCTCGCGAACACTGCTAATTCCTCGTCAGCGGCCGCGAAACTTTCCTCCCGCCGCGCTGCTCAGACCGCTCTAATGCTCTTAATTGTTGTCACGTGCTGTTCGCAAACTACCTTAACCGAACGGCACCCGGAATTCTTTGAGAAATTACACGGGCTAGATTGCTCGTGGTTTCACGCCTTCGTTGGACAAAGAACAATCTCTCTTGACAGTTTCTGCACTCCTTAAACTGCTTAGTCGACCGAACCATGTGTGTGTAACAAGATCGAGCCGACTTTACAGGGAAGACAGAAGTTCTGAGGTGAGAAATTTTTTATCCGTGTATTTAGGATCGATGCAGGTTCTCTAGAAATAAGGGTATGTGTATTTATTTTATCCTCGAACATATTTTCGATACGTGCAAAGCTGCTATTAATAAAACAAACTGTGTTGCGCAACCTTTTCGTATTCTCGCAATATCGATATACCACGCAGCGATCAATAATCGACTTATTAAAGAGCGATATATGCATCATCGAAAACAAAGGGTTTTGAGAGAGAAACGGTAACTACGCGCACGCGACGGAACACGAGCCTTGCGACAGATGGCGTTCACCAAGAATGCTTGGATTTCCACGAGGCATGATATAATCGGTCTGCTCGACGATGCCAGCCCGCAAATACAAAGCAGCTGCATTTACACGCTCAAGTTGCAATCCGACGCGTCTCGGCGCGGTGCGGCGCGACGCGCTAATGCGGACGTCGTTGCAGCAATTCATGGCAACGGTTGAACTCCTCCAAGGATTCTGGAACCGAGGAACTTAGCGCTCGGTAAACGATAAAACATGGACCGTTCCGGGGTCCCAGGTAACTGTCAAAGAGCTGGCGAGACTAC